CCCCCCTCAACTGTTTTTATACAGTGTCTGTAAAAAAAAGTGGACCCATTTAAAGGGCAATAGCTCTGTCATCTTTGTGCCATATCAGCAATAAATCTTCAAAGAAGTAAAATTCAACTTACGAGGCAGGCATAAAATTTGGCAGTATGAAGAAAATCTATCGATGTGTTTTAGAAATATAAAATATAAAGCACAAAATTTCCTACTTAAAAGTGTTTTGCTGCAGGGGCATGACCCATTCTGGGTTTTGGGACGAGGAAGGTAAAACTTTAAATGTCACATCAAATTGATATCTCATCATGATCTCGTCACGCTAACAAAGTTTGTTAGAAATTTGGAGAGGAGGGGTACTGCTGTAGTGGAGGCTTGGTTCCACACCCTATACATCATCATCAATAGTGGCCCTTGCAGTTGCAAGAAAGGTTTAACCAATGCCTTATAACTTATAACCTGAATGTTTACAAACAAATGGTCATCGCATTCCCCTGACTTGAACCCTCTTGATTATTTCCTTTGGAGGTTTTTGACAGATGACCGACAGTCTACGGAAACAACCCACAGACATCTATAATGTGAGCTATGTGTCAAGAGTTTCAGTGGCTTGTTTGTAGAAAAAAGAAAAAAATACTGGAATTCCATGTCACCGATGACTTATGATGGTATTATAATAATTTCAGCTCTGTTGAGTGGTTGGAATTGCCTGATATTGGACGATTGATCAATTAAGGTCTCAGTTTGAAGGACTATTTGTCGCAGATTAGTTCTCATTTCCTTCTTTGCCGTTACTGCCGTGATATATTTGTCATACTTTTTTCCTCTTCTGAATCACCTTTTGTCTTTTACCGATATTGCTTTTTTGTTTTTCTTTTAAAGAAAGGGCGGTTGTTCTTTGTGGATCTGAAGAAGGATGAATGCCGGACAAGAGACTTGGACCGTGAATTCCGCAAGGCTTGTATTCCCAGTACGTCTTCTTTTTTTCTTTGACCTTACATTTTTTTGTGTGTGTGGTGGGGTGGGGGGGGGAGGGGGCAGCTTCAATGGTGAATTATTTGGTTTCCTGTAGCATATACCTCAGACACAGATTGGACAAACTTCTTTCAATTTATATTGTTTTCTGCAGATCATAAGTTTCTGCCCATCTGTCTCCGGCTAGCTTCTTTGCTGGCTGTCTCAAACTAAAGCATTTGTGCTTGTGTTGTTTTCCCATATGGAGGGTGCAAGGGGAAAACCAGCAATGTCACGTTTCATAAGTGTTGAGAAAAGTGAAGATTTAACTTTGAAGACTTCTGCTAGTCATGGCTGTGTTCATGATTGATATTTCCCCTTGAAAATGTGTAAAGTAAGTCTGCTTACTGATTATAACATGGGTTTAGAGTGATGAAGTGTGTTTGTGGTTATGTTATGAAGTAAATATGTGAGAAAAGGACATCGCTGGTTTTCCCCTTGCATTCCCATATTCTGTATAATTTTCATCCTATTTTAAGGTTTGATGGCTTGAAGCTCTTGTAATAATCTATGTTATAAACAAACAAAAAACACTCTCCATAAAGACTTGTAACCCCAAAATCCCTGTAAAATAATACTTTTGCCAATATTCAATCATCAGTTTATTGAAAAACTTTTGGAACTTGAAACTACAAATTCTAAAAAATATAGAAGAAGAAAAAGCCATTAAACAGATGCTCAAAAAGGCAAAACAGTGGGACTTTATCAAATCTCACTGGAAATAAATGAAGTACATGGTGAATGGAGAGTGCAGAACTTGATCAACCTGCTCAATACCTTCAATTAACTGGAAATATTCCAAGAGACATTCTACATTCATCACGTTATCCAAAAATTCTGGAACAACAGACTACAAATGCTGCAAACAATTATTCTTATGAGTCGCGCAATGGTGGCTCTCGTGGTCTACAGGTATGGTTTTCGCCTCCTATATAATAGGTCCCTGGTTCGAAACCTGACTTGCCTTCTCTCTCCCTTACTCCTGGCTCTTTCTACTGCTACCCTAACTTTTCTACTGTCACTCCTGGCTCCTTATTACTTTTGTCTTTCAGCCACATATCCTGATCCTAGGGTAGGTAAGATCGAACATATAGCCTTCTTGGATAAGGGCGAAAAATATCGGAGGTCCCGTGTGCAAGTTGTAGCATACATTAAAGATCCCTTGGTGGTCCTAATATCTATGGGAGTAGGCTTTGGCCGCCACCCAAGAAAAATTCAAAATTTAGTCCTACCAAAACTGAAAATACTCTAGTCAAAATAAGACCACATAGAGTACCTTTGAAATCAGAATGTGGCTTTGGAGTAGGGCTGGAGTCTGCTCGATTAATCAAAGGCTTGCGAGCAACGGACCGCTTGTGCCAGAGGCTTTTGCGAGCAGGCTTGAGCTTTGCCCGCTACTGGAGTTGCTACTCGTGAACGGCGGACGGACTTATTGATTTGTGTCGTGACGTCACAAACTCTTGTTTACTGAGCGCGCGATACTTCTGCCTGAGTGGCCGCACGCTGATCACACTTCCAGAGATGGCGCTGTTTGGGGAGGGGAGGGGGGGGGTATGGCTGGGAAAGCGAGAGGTGTTCGCCACCCCTCGCTTTCCGTAGAACCCGCCCCTCCCCTTACGCTTCCTGGTGTGACAGGGTTTTATTTGTCTTGTTTATTTTGTGTTTTTTTTGTTCAGTTTTTTGTTGATTAAAATTTGTTTGGTGGGGGGAAGGATTACGTTTTGCTTTATAGATTTTCTTGGCGTAATTCGACATCATAATTAATATTTGTATGATAGAACATGCATAATACATACATAATATCAGTTACAGTGCAGCAAGATGTTTTTTAAAAGTTATAGGCCTACAATGTAATTAACAATGTGATATAATTTACCTTAACAACGATCTTCTGATAGGGAAGCAGTCAAATCAAAAGTTTTTTACATTGTTCAGAAACAAAATCACGATTGTCATCCCCTCCCCAATGCTTTCTCTTCAACTTCAACTTGTTCTAAGTGTCGGGGTGGGAATGGAAGTGCAGTTTAGGCGAGTGATTAAATTACAAGCCACGGGATGCTAACAATACTGATTTATTTTGTCAGTTAAAAATTGTTTGTAAGTGTTCACACCTTTATTCTGCGTCCTAAATAGTTTAGCATGCCGCAACCCCTGTGCTTTCTTGTCGTATATCCATTTTTAATACCAGTGAAAACAGCTCATAACAAAATGTGAGCCTACGAAGATGTCACATTTTCACTGTTAAAGCACCGAGGTCGCAAACGGTCTGCACTAGGCTATTACAGCCCTCTTCGCCTTGCACCAAAACCAGCGCAGCCTCTCGCTTCCTCCACGTCCAGAGTTCAGAGTTCATGCCGCGAGCGGGGTGGATTACCGGCAGATCTTGCGGCTCGGTGCAGACGAGCGGTGTTGTACTGACGAGCGGTCTTGCCCTGCCAGGGCGGTAGTTGGGCTCAAAGCAGATTTATTGGCACGAGAGCAAGCCCTTAGCACAAAGCAATACGAGACGCAAAGCAGGTCTTGGGACCAAGTGCTTTGCTCTGCTGCCATCGGGATTTGAGTCTTGCCTGCCGTCCGCTGCTCGTATGCCTTCGATTAATCGAACAGACTAGTTTGTGGTGCAGAGACACTGTGCGCAGGGTCTCTCTCTCTCCCCCTCTCTCTCTTTCTGACGTTAGTGGTTTCGCAGATTGCAAGCAGGGAGGGGAAGGAAGAGGGGGTCAGACACGAGTGGCTTCGCGGATTGCAAGTTGGTGTGGGTACTTGAACTTGAAGCTTAGGCTAGACTCAACGTATCATGCTGGTGATTTGATTTGATGATTTGACCTAGTGATTTGAGGCTTGTGACTTGAACTAGGGGCTTGCGAGCACGAGCGTGTTTGCTACCGGGGTACAGCCCTACTTTGGAGTGCTACTAAGTTGGAAAAACGGTCGTATGCTTAAAAATCAGTTACATTGCAGGTGGAGGAACCAGCAGTTGACTACCCCTGATCTCTTGCAGGGGAATTCAAAGAAGAAGAGAAGAAATCATACAATAAAACTAAAATGTACTACTGAGAATACTGATGACAAGAGGGAGAGACAAGATAAGACCCGAGGTTTTAGAAATGCAATTTGGGTTAATAGCTGACAATGGAACAACGAATGCCATATTCATCCTCACAATGTTAATAGAGAGGGGCGTTGAAATGCTGAAAGATATTTATCTACAGTTCAGTGATTATTCCAAGGTTTTTTTTTTGTTTTTTTACAAAGTAAAGCATGAAGACACACTGACGGTCTTGGTCATGCCAAATACTGGCAGAAGTGCAGGCAAGCAGATAGGGACTGTAACAGCAGCTTCACATCTTTCCGCTTTGATGGCGCAGAAGAAGTCATTGTGGTGGATTTTCGCTTCATATTCAGTCTGGCAATGGGATCTGTTCTTGATGCAGCCCACTGATATGAGAGACTCAAGTATTCTGTTTTGCTGGTCTTTGCTACTGAGACTATTGAAATGGGTTATTAATAATAAAGCGATTTTTTTTGTAATCAGTTGTCACCTCAAAGCATTTTAGTTCTTTCTAGGGCAAACAGATCACATACACTGTCATTCTTTGTACTTCAGTAATTTCTCATTTTCTTTTCAATAGTGAACTTTTTTTTTTTTTTGGTCAGTTTGCTGTAACCTCGGGTGTCTGTTGCTATATATATCATTTTGAAATGCGTGTGAATAATAATAAAGCAGCTTGACATGACCTCAAAATGATTGCTGATTGCTTGTCAGGGTAGATAGGGGGAAATAAGTCTCCACTCTGGGCTGCGTCCTGATATATCTTGTTTTCCCCTTGTACTGGTTGAACATCGCTGTTTCTCCCCTTGCATCACTTTTTTTTTGCGACCATTGAAACGTACTATACTATGATGGTTTTTGGATTTTTCCACAAGGTGAAAACATGGGGCTTGGTCAAGTCTAAAAAATGCTCTGAAGAGCTTATTTTCTCAAAAATTGGACATTGCTGGTTTTCCCCTTGCACCTTATTATATATATAATATATATATATATATATATATAATAGGACTGTATGCTTTTTAAAAAAAACTCAAGTTTAAAAGAGATCAATAATTAGAGCACAGTTTGTCTGCCGTAACTGTTTTTTCCAGGACTTTCTCCTTCACCAAAGAGACCCGGGTCTTTACAGTAAAAATTAAGAAAAGAAAAAATTCTGTAGTGATGGAAAGCTGGTCTCTACTCTAAAGCAGAACAGGTTTTATACACAGTGACCTTGGCTCATCATGTATTTACAGTGGACCTTGGACTTTGTAGCTACAGTAGAGACTTACATGTTTTTGAAAGTTTTTATTTTTCGATCTTTGCTAGTGAAAAAAAAAAGCATATTATCAAATGTAATAATATTATTTTTCAGGCATTGTCAGTTTTTTTGTATGTATTTTTAGTTGTGTTTAAAGCTGTGTGGAAAAGAAGGGGGGGAAAGGGGGGGGGGGGATGCACCTTCTTTGAAATGACCCAAGCTGTGTTTTGCAAAGCATTAAATACAACTAACAAAACAAACCAAAGAATGAGAGGCTACCGTACCGCAGATATACTCCTTCCCACTTTAAGGAAGAAAAATCCTTCGCATAGAACAACCCATATTATATAGTTTTTTGAAAGTCTGATAAGCTTATGGGTATATTTATTGATAGGTATATCTAACCAGGTGTACATTGTTATGCAGACACTCTTTGTCTTGTGCACTGTCATGTTTAGTTGCAGTTCAGCCTCTCTATAACAATAATCGATATAACGACATTCTCTGTATAGCGACATGGTGTCCAGGTCCCGATTTTTTCCTTATATATCATTAGTAATTTTTGGATGCCTCTCAATAACGACATTTTGTTTGTACTCCACTTTAACTCGCATGTAAAATTACTTTTTTGTTTAGTTTTAGTAAGAGTTTTACAACACTTGCAACACAATGTCATTTATAAGTGCCTAAGATTACAGGTGTTACAAAAGAGTATCAATAACAAAAGAAGAAGGAGCAGAAACAAGGACGATAAATGCTTGATAAGAAAGAAGGAGCAGACCACACCAGATCATCCACCGACCACCTGTGGAATAAAATTACATTTCCGCTACTCATGTTACAAAATTTTACATCACACACTTTAACCAACCCCTGTGCCCCCATCCCCCTCATGTTATGCTGCTGTAAGCTACAAGTATTCTCTCTGAACGTGACTTGTTTCAATTTCACTACTTCACAGAGGATGCCAAAGAATATGGACCATTCTTTATGGGCTTGGAAGGTGGTTTCAGAGTTCGTGGCTTTGAGGTCCACACAGGTCCCATCACTACGTTTGTCAATGTTGTTGACCTAGAGGAGGGTGTTTGTGTACCAGTCGGGGAAACTCTGACTGGCACGCTCAGGAAAGGTAAGCATTGTTGGAAACTGACCACTTACATGTAATTTTGGACATAAGTATTACAGTGTTTGATGCTATTCTAGTTGCTAATGAGCTTTTTACTATTTGCTTGACCCGTAATTGAAGAACGTCTGCCTCTGTCACGTCATGCATTGGTCTGAAGAAAGAACCGGAAAAGATGATGGGATTATAAAGCAAAAACTTTCTCCTTGCATTTTTTGACAGTGAATTGTCGGTAGGTTGTTTTATGACAAAGTATTTATGTTAGTTTGTTGTTCCATATTTGAGCTCATCTATAGTATCTATTTAGAGAAATTTAGTTTTCTTTGCAACCTGTTACAGTTCCTTTATGGAGAAACTGTAAATGCAAGATCAGTTTGAGCTTTGAGCCTAAGAAACAAAACGGGTAGCTTTGAGCATAATCAAAGATGTTAAGAATAGAAAATATTACTTGAAATCAAAAATGCAGTTTTTTTGTTGTAGAAGTTGTGGTTGAAGTGACAAGATAATGCAGAGTGAAGCTTTTGACACACGAGAGTTTAAATACGTTTCTGTTTTCATTTGATTCCTTATGCAGCTGTATATTAAATGAAAGTTGTTGTTTTTTTCCTTTTATTTCAGTGAGCTTCATGCAGTCACTTGGATTCATAAACATTCGTCCAGGCATAAAAAATGCAACAATATTCGATGTCCCCAAACAATGCTCCGAGGTCAGTGTAGGTTCTATCTCTGAACTCTTTTTCTTAACTAGGATGTATAAGTTTTTACTCTCAGGAATCATGCCATCGATGTAAAGTTCTCAGAGCTTGTTTGTTTTAGTAGAGGTTTTACGGCGCTCGTAACTGCATAAGGTCATATGAGCGCCAACCTTCTCGGAGCTTATACTTTCATGGGGCAGATTTTTAGCTTACTACATAAATGCAGTCTATTATTATTTTTATTATTATTTTTTATCATTATGAATAATGTTTTAATCTTGCATGGTCTTATTCCTTTTCGGTAACTATGAGCAGTGAGGGAGAGGGAAAAAAAGAAAAGAATTGAAGTCCAATCTGCAGTTCTTTGAGTCTTCAGCAAAATAATATGTGAGGCAGCGTGGTGAAATCAGGCACAAATAATGAAAGGAAAGAAAGTGGCCTATTTCCGCTGGTTAAGCCATTTTGATTGAATTTTGCTTTTAGACTTAACGCCATTTATGTCCTTTTAAGAACCCATTTCTGTTTTGGATTTTTACAATAAAAACGTTGATTAAATGCACAGAAAATATAAATTGTCCATTTCTAAGGACTCTCAGGCTATGTGAAGAACCATACTTTGGCTGCTATTTTCTCACTAATTTTGCCTCTGAAACCAGGCAACCCTCACCTACTTCAATTGCAAATATCTCGATTTGTATTCAAGATATTTTGGATATTTCATTCATTAAAAGCTAGACAAATTCAAACGAGCTTTAAGGCAATGCCAGTAACTCAACATGCTCCAGAATTGACGATCGCCTGATTCCACTATGTTGTGACACATACTTTTTTTCATGAGATTAAGTGCTTGCTGAAGTTAAATATTAACAAAATAAAGCTGTCTTTACAAATACATCTGAGGTAGAGTCAATATACTATTCCTATGCTGCAACTGGACATTGTTGGGTTGGAGTTGAAAAATGGGCAAAGAGTGTACCCTATCAGTAGATTTTTTTTCCGAAATGTGGAATATTTGACAAGCATAAAATGTTACAAGTTCATAGCCCATTTTGATTTCTTTGAAATATTCCTGTAGAATGCTGCTTAGTTATTAAGAGGTGCTTCGGGATGTACATGGGGATTCAACCCTGAAAGTGTCTGATCCCCAACTGTATTGATAAAGGAGCCTGTGTAGACTGTGACACCATAGTTTTTGTTCACTGGACTGTCCAGACTGGTCTGCTTCTAGCTGAAAAACCTTCTAAAGGGAGTGTACATTGCTTGGGGAAAAGAGTAAAAATAACAGTGTGCAACAAACCCATGTATGATCCTGAATTGGCTGCTTAATCACAGTGGTGGCTGAATGCTGTGCCCAATTCATTTTTTGCTTTGTTTGGAAATGATTAGGACAGCTGATTTAGATGCAGATCTTGAATCAAATGATAAACCTGACAGCAATGACATTATTGTTGTCTGATCTTTAGAATTACAGTCTTGTCTTTTGTCACTTCTTTTATGCTTATGTTTATGATATGTGAGATTTTTTGTTTCTGTTCTGTTAAGCTTTGTATTTTTGTTCTCTTTTGGTGGGTTTTTTTGGGGGGAGGGGGGAGAAACAGCGGTAATGGTGGAGAGTCATTGCTACCTGTCAGGTGTAAGCACCATTTTCTGGTCATATTTCTGTTTTGTTTTCTCGGAAATGGACGGTGTATTTTTCATTCTCCCTAATTTTGTCTGTATTCATGCCATTTTTGTTTGTTTTCACTTTATATATGCTGTGCAGGTGTTTCTGTGTATCCTTACGATTAAAAAAAAAAAATTTTTTAAAAATAATTATATTTATCTCCAGGCACAGGAAACTGACCAGATGTTTGCAGCTGTGGTGGAGAGGGACCATTTTATCTTGGCTGTGTAAAGGTGGCGCATCCTAGCCCAGAACATTCTGAGCTATCCACATCTGAGCCCTCATCATGATTTCCAAAACTCTCTTGACAGAGTTTCGAGTGCTTCATATTATGGACTACTATATGCGTAGTGATGATACTTGGTTGAATTCTAATAAAAGAAAAGGAGAAAAACAAGATGATGCTGTAAAGAAATATGAACAGCAGCAGCTTTGAATAGAATGATTTAAGGCTTATGAATCTTTTACTGGCCCTTAAGAGTTTTAATCTATCAGTCTTGACTTTGTGCATCTTTTTACAAAGCTTCCACTAACGAACAAAGGATGTCAAAATATTTGTTGTTAATGGCTTTCTCACTATTCAAGCAAATATTTCATATTATGAGAGCATCATGTGTTATTGATCAAGTTAAAGCATTGTGCTTCGTTTTGTTTCTTTCTCCCCTTTGAATTTTGCAAAAGTTTTGTTTGTAGTTAAGTTCTTAAGTTGTCTTTCCTTGTGTTCAATATTTGATTGTCTAAAGTTCCAGTCTGTGAACTGTTCAAATGTCTGGTCGTGTCAAAATTCAATTCTGTAGCTGTTTTATGTGCCCTGTTTACACTTTGTACCTGATGTTTTGTGTAGAGAACATGGATAGCTTTAGTTTTTTATATCAAGAATAGTCTTTGATCGTTCATTCCACATTCTGTTTGTCTTTGAACCGTCTGAGAATCCAAACATAAAAAACGAAGACTGATCATTATAGTTTTGAAAAGTGTATTTGGAAATTCTTCTATTTGATTGTTTGAATTTTGGTAACTGTTGAGCTTACACTGATTGCTAAATCCATTGTTTTAATGAGAATAGTAAAACTTTTTGTTAGAGTTTAACTGTATTAGCTTTAAGTATGATGCAATCAAGAAGAAGGAAGAAGAGGAAGATTCATGTTTTTGTCTAGCTGGAGACTTTTCTTTATTCCAATAATTTTTGTTTGTTTTACTTCAAGTAAGTCTCTATTCGTCAATAAGTCTTTTAACTAAAACTTATACGTTGAATAATTCACGAATATTGTGCAAATTTTGTTGGCCTTTTAAGAAAATTTTAGATTCCTGAATTGTTGCTGTAAATGATGATATTGCTAGCTTAATCAGATATATATACTGAGAATGTATTACTTTATTCACCACTTTATTCTAAAAACTTCTGTCCAAAGAATGCTCAATCTGGTGGGGGTAAACATTAGAACTTATTGTTGCGAAATCTCTGGTTCCAATTTACAAAATACATTTTTAGAAATCATTTTTACTTAATGTTTGTCAAAATTATTTTAAACTTGTTATTATACACCTTTTGATCTGACTGGTTTCTTGTTACAATCATTTTTTAAAATCACTTTTAAATGCATTCAAATAAATACACTGTCTATTTTTCAGTGAATAGTTGTATCTTTTGGGTCTTTCTTTTCGACAAGAAGCTCAATTTGTGTGGCATCATGGTGAAATCAGGCACTTGTCAAAATAATGAAATTGGAGAAACTTACATTTTTCCACATGTTTGACAATTAATATTGGATTTTTTTCTTGTAGGCTCGGCACCTTTTATGTCCATTTAGAAACACTTTCGATCCTAGGTGGATTTTTATTAAGCTTAGGAAGTTACCAAAATTTGACTGCCATTTTCTTGCTATTTTTACCTCTGGGAGCAGCATTCCACACCCTCTTCGGTCCTAAATATTTCGACTTCTATTCAAGATATCTGGGTATTTTTCCATGAAAAGGAAGATAAATAAAGAAGTTTTAAGATATCAATAACTTAATGAGCCCAAAATATGACAAGCGCCTTCATGTTGTAACACATTTTTAATTTTGAGGTTTTAGGATTCTTTGGGCATGCTTAGGTGTTTGAATTCATTGTCTCTGTTTTTAAAAGCAGCAGTAATTCTTATTATCCTAGTCTTTTGATAATCTTTTGCTTTTTCTTTCTAATATGTTTTAGTACTTTTTTCTGGAACCATTTCTGGAATCATAAGGAGGGGAAAAAATCAGATGAGGTAGGGCGGGAAGAAGCCAGCATGGATGGTCACTAATAGTTTTGTGAGAGACAAGTACAGACACATAAATGGACATAAAGGCCTTGAACATCATGCTCTCACTGGAAAAGCAGAAAACAAATGTGGCAGATCAAGAGCAAGAATAATTACTTCTTTAGAGAATTTTTCTTTCTGCAGCCTTTCTACTGCTACTCCTTGGCTCCTCCTTACTGCTGTCTTTCTGTCACACCCCTGAACTTCTGGTAGGAAAGATCTTTACCTAGCCTTCTCGGACAATGGCGAAAAATCTCGGAGGGCCCGTGTGCAAGATGCGCACGTTAAAGATCCCTTGGTGGTCTAAAATCGATAAGAGTAGGCTTCGGCCGCCACCCAGGCAAAATTCAAAATTTCCTACCAACTGAAAATATTAGGTGTGTCCCGCGCGCTCATATGACCCTATGCAGTTGCAAGCGCCATAAAACGCTTTACAAAAAAAGAGAATTTTAACAGATGGGTGATTAGAAAAGATGTGGAAAATATAGTTTTTTACAAGCCTTCGAGCAGAGTGATATTTGGCGAGCCATGAACTCTGGTGTCTACTTCAGGTCTGTCCCTTATAAACAAGAAAAAGGTGACTTACAAACTGCAATATAGTGATTTTGAAAGGGACACGGAAGGAGAGGTTCAGGGTAGGAGGATGGGGGGTCGTGAAGTTACTCAAAATAATTCGTAAATACATTTTTATATACATGTATAACTATAACACTAACAGACCAAATTAAGTCACGCGAAGTCTCACTAGGGGCCATAGGATAAAATACTTACAGTCTTTACTTGACGTGCCAAACACGATACCATGTCACTCAACCAGTTACCCATGGATTCATAAAGCAAATGATAATAATAATAATAATAATAATAATAATAATAAAAATAATGATAATAAATTTTTGTTGAGTAAGTGTTTTGCGGGCTCACAACTGCATACGGTCTCATGAGCGCTCGGGACACATTAAACATTTTCAGTTTGTATGAAATTTTGAATTTTGCCAAAGCTTACTCTTAATCTTATCGATTTTGGAACCACCAAGGGATCTTTAACGTGCGCAACTTGCACACGGGCCCTCCGAGATTTTTCACCATTGTCTGAGAAGGCTAGGTGTTGATCTTTCCTACCAGAAGATCAAGGGTGTAGCTGAAAGACAGCAGTAAGAAGGAACAATGAGTGGCAGTAGAAAGGCTTCAGAAAGAGTCGGGCGCCCAGAGAAGGGGGCAAAGAGGG